TGTCTCGGATCCAATTACCGAGTCGACTAAAGTATTATTGAGTTTTTTTTTAAATCTCAGTAGTAGCACGGAGTCTGGAATTAAGTCCAATATATGGCAATAGGCATATAACATGGGACTCATAATATAAACAATGAAAAATGTGTGTTACATTGTACGGTGGCATAAAGTGTCGTAATGTAACTTTTGCCTACACCTTCAGGGATGAAAATCACGCCTGTTATGTTACTTAATATTATACCGTAGGAAAATCAGTCGTAGCATTAAAATTTTAACAGTCTAAAAAAACGGGGTTGATTTTCTAGCCTTTTACTAGCAGACTAGTTACATCGTGGTCAATTTAAAGTACCTAACACTAAGAAACTAATCAGTTCATTTCATTAAAGTCGAGTGCAGAATTAATTGTACGAAGGGCTCCTGCAACTTAAATATGGGTCTAGACTCTCTCCTTGTTTTCTAATTTGTTTAAGTCAGACTTAATTTAAAAGCTAAGATATCACTCGTTTTGTTGAGAGGATTTTTTAATTAATAATTTAGTAAATGTTTCTTCTTGCATTTTTTACAAATTATTTTTTGACACACCTATCTTTATTTTTGAGTCATTGCTGTCTATAGATTTCAAGTAGTTTTAAAACGCGTCTAGACAGATAAACAATAAAAAATAACAATTGAAGACTAAATTACTTAGAGTCGATTTTTCAATCAACAAATTTTTAACTTTAGAATAAAATTGAGTTTTGACAGTTTTTAGTATTGACGAATTGGGTAGCTTCCAGAGTATCAAAATTAAAAATCTAATTAGTCCGTCAGTTAGGTAATGAAAACATATTAGACACGTATTTTTTATATTCCCGTATTAAGTTTCAATACTTAGATAAAATGGCGATAAGTTTAGGAGTGGGAGGTCGTTACGTCATAACGTGCTACAAAATGTGACACGCTGTTACGTCACACGATATTTCAAATTAATATATAGTCAAAACTATTTAATTTTGTGAGAAAAGAAAAAATACGTGTCTAAAGTTTTAAATTAATCTACCAGACGGACATTAAAATTAAATTTAGGAAACTACCGTATTGTCAAATACTCAAAGTTATTCCTCAGTTAACTATCTCAATAAGAATATAACCAAAAATTTTTGTTTACATTTATATAGTCAGCACAATTGGCGATACTATGGATGCTGCTCGTGACCATAGTGGCTGGCAACGCGACCGTAGTCCTCGCGTTGCTGCTCACCAAATCCAGGAAGAGTCGCATGCACTTCTTCATTATGCAATTGGCCATCGCCGGTAAGTTATAATACCTAATAAGCATTTTGCTTGAATGCAAGAAAACCTTAACGAAATGATAGTATATCAACTGCCTTACATCTAAATGAAATTGACCACTTCATCTATCGTATGGACCTTGTCATAGAAGCCAGATAAGGCCACTAAGAATTTTATATGAAACATCAAAAAATGTTCATTAAAACACTTGAAAAAACATTCATCCCATTTCAAATAAAAGTTTTTTCTTTGCTTTCTAAATAAACGCACCCAGTACTTACATAAAAGAGATCCTATACTCTTAATCCTGGGCTCGCTGCCATTGCAGCGGTAGGTCCCCTCTTTGAGGAGTGGCTTGAGAGACGCTACGGCGTCCTCACCTACCGCCTGACGCAGGTCCTTACCGGACATGGAAGTTTCGGGAGGTACCTGTGTCTGATGGGGCGGGAGGAAACGCCCGGGTGTCATCACTGCGAGGACCGCCCTGAGGACACGGTGGAACACACAGTGGGAGAATGCCCTGCGTGGGCTGAGCACCACCGTGCCCTCAGGGAAGTGATCGGCGATGGCGACCTCTCGCGTCCGGGCCTAGTGCGGGCCATGATGCGGAGCGAGGGGGATTGGGATGCCATCTCCTCCTTTTGCGAAGCAGTCATGCTAGCTAAGGAGGAGGCGGGACGCGTGAGGCAGCGAAGCGCTGCCTCCTCGCAACCCAGCCATCGCGAAGGACACACAGGGCGTCGGGGATCGCGAGACGATCTCCGGCCACCGTAAGCGCGGGCCTGCAGACGGTGAGCATGGGTGGCTCCCCGTCCGACCAGAAACAGACCCGAGCGTACGGCGCGTCGCGTTCCGCGCGCGCCTCAAAGAGCCATCAGACCACCACAGATGGGGCCCAATAGGGCCGATGCCGATTCGGAGTCCCGGAGAACCTAACGGGTAACCGGGGCTCCGGCTCGACGTGCAGGAGAAGGAACGGGGTGGTTTTTAGTCAGTAAGAGTCTGACACTCCCTTCCGCCTCACCCAGGCGGGAGCAGCCATTCGATGATTTTCCCCCCTAAAAAAAAAAAATACTCTTAGTCCAAGTTGTATCATCGTTATTCGATTTTGTTCATAAAACTTTTAACTTACATACTATTTTACAATATACACCGTGAAATCTATTTCGTTTTCGACCCGAAATAAAATGGCACTATCTTGGTAACACAATAGTTTTACAAAGAAATAAAATGTTTAAAACAAAAAAATTATAGGTGAACCATTGCAAAAAGCAAACTTCGAAAACGCATACCCATAGTACATTGTTAAAACATCATAAAATATCATATAATTCCCGAAGAGATATTTCTTGCCGGGTGGCACGTGCGATGCGAATAGTGCCTACAAATTTACATCTAGTGTTTCATATGCGAATTTCCGTGATTTTTTTAAACTGAAAAAAATTACATCTATGTTTTTACTTTATACTTCCAAAGTACTGCTTATGGGAAGTTGTTTTGCTGTGAGACGTAAACGAAATAGATTTGACGGTAAAGTTATTTCAACAAATGGGTTTTTATTACCAAAACAAGATTCCAATTATTGGCTTACGAATATTGTTTGTGAAGGTAAATAACAAAGTATCATTTTTCAGATTTATTAGTGGGCTTAATCAGTGTTCTGCCGGATTTAATACAAAGGATAACAATCACGTGGCTTGCTGGCTCCATTACGTGTAAAATGATGAAGTATTTACAAGTAAGATTATTACTTAAGTATGCTTATAGCTATGTTTTTTGTCAATAATCCCAGTCCCTACTTTAAAAAATCTGCCTTTTATCTATTTCTCTACTTCGCTCTGTTTAAGTTTTGTCTATAACGTCTGCTAGAATAAAGCAAAAACTAACAAATTGAAAGTAGACAGTTCGGTGTCTGGCTACTGTATAACATGTTGTAGGCTCGATGCACCACACGTACCTAATGATAAATTTTTCAAATGTTTTCCTGCATTCTGAGCAAATAAATAATGATTCTATTCTATTATATTCTATTCTATTCAATGCATAAAATGTTTTTTTGGGTCGTCATTATATATTTCTTATTTTTTTAATTTAACTTTCAGTTCAAGTAATGTAAATATATTAGCTGTGCAATTTGTGTTTCACATTTAATCAAAAGCATCAATTTTAATTGTAATTTTATTTTAGGGTGTCGTCACATATTCCTCTACTTACGTATTAGTGGCACTGAGTGTGGACCGATGTGATGCCATCACCCATCCCATGAACTTTACGGGAAGCTGTAAGTATTATTTTATACTCTGACTTAATTAACATAACATAACATCACGCCTTTTATCCCCGAAGCGGTAAGCAGAGGTGCACATTATGCCACTGTACAATGTAAAACCCACTTTTCACTAGTTATGTTATGAATCCCATGTAATAGGGGGTGACCCTATTGCCGTATATCGGGTACAAATCCAGACTCGGTGCTACTACTGAGATTTTTTTTTAAAATCCAGTATTACTTTGCCCGACCTGGAAATCGAACCCGAGACGCTTACCGAGTCGCACTTGCGACCATTCGGCCAACGAGGCAGTCTTATTTAAATTTGTTATTTAAAAACATCTTTACATGCTTACTATAAAGGTTCATTATATAAAAACAAGTTGATGTCTAATCCAGGGCTAAGTATTAAGTTTCTACCAATAAACAGGGGATAAGATATCGCTTTTCTTAGAAATTCTCATTAAAATACTAGAATCTAGAATTATGGCCGGTTTCTGACAATAGATTCCCTTGTTATTATAATAGATCTGGTTTAACATGACTTGAAAAGCTTATTGTATTTATTTCTTTGCCTTTGAGGAATAATAACGAAAGGTAAGCTTACCTTTCTATAGATAGCTATCTAGTCTCCTAAACTATTGACTTACATCAACATCAATACTCACATCTTCAGCCTATAAGCGCCCACTGCTGAACAAAGCATCTCCTCACACGGGAGAAGGTTTGAGTATTAATCACCATGCTTGCTTATTCCGCGATTTCAAACTTATAAGTCCAGATTTCCTTACAATGTATTCCTTCACCGTTTGTCAGTGGTGTCTAAATAATCTTAGAAAGTACATATAACTCGGAAAAAGTCACATTGGTACTTGCCGTTGGTGGGTTTCTAACCCGCACCCTTATGCATGAGAAGCGGGCGTCTTAACCTCCGGGCCACCACGACCTAGACTATTGATTTATTAATAGTGATAGGAGATTTAAACTCACCAATAATATGGTAAGATTAAATGCCTACTTTACAGTGTCTGGGTTGCAATGCTGCTATGTACCAGATAAATTTTAATATGCGACGTAATTTGTATTAACTACTTTATACATAAGTTTATCCGATAATAGGGTAGATGCCTAATTTTAATTTTAATGTCCGTCTGGTAGATTATTTTAAATCATTTGACACGTATTTTTTATTTTCTTACAGAATCGAATACTTCGACGATTATATTGATTTGTATTCTCGCGTGACGTCACTTCTATGTACATTTTATACGCAGAAATGACGTTTTAGCCCCCACTCCTAAACCTTGATTCGTTTTATCTAAGTATTGTTTTATTATACGACTAAATAAAAAAAATATGTCTAATATTTTTTCATTTCCTAATTATATTTGTCATTTTCATACCCTGTCATCATCCCAATTATAAATAGGCATCTCGAAAAAGATCAACGTCCACAATTATTATTTTAAAAAAAATCCTACAGCAGAACAAAAAAATTGTCCCCGAGAACATTTCAGAGCATCATAAGTTATACTAAGTGTGACTTAAGGTACAATTGTGACAAAGTCCAGACAAGTCTCGTTGTATATTTCGCGAAGTTTCCCACTAACAAAGAATTTGTTCCGCTTTGAACATTCTTACTATTACTGTTTGTCTTCGCCCTAGATAATTATGTTTCTAGTACTAAATTATTTTTATGAAGACCTTTGAGGATAATTCTAGACTCTGTTCAGACGTGCTTACTGTTTCTTTATGTTGTTCTGTCTTATTGTTCCCTAATAGTATTTGTTTGACAGTTTATGATTAGGTCTACTGCGTTAGTTTAGTCATCTTAAGCGAAGAATATTTTAGTCTAATACCGTGGTCATTACATAATATTGATTTAAGTCATAAACTTATTATGAGACATTTAATAGGGGGAAAAATCTACCGACACTCCCGCCCTGAGTGTGCTGGGATCCGAGTGTCAGATTCTTAGTAAAATTCATACTGTTCCTCCCTGGTCGGATCCGAGCCTAATGTCTGGATACCTATATGGAAATAACCCATGACCCCGGCAAATTAAACCGAGCTGTAGATTTCCTCATAGAAAATATAATAATAATTTAATTTTTTTTACACAGGGCGTCGTGCGCGCGCGCTTATTCTTGGTGCATGGTTCGTCAGCTTTCTGTTCTGTGTACCGATGCTATTTCTGTTTGATGAAGCCAATGTTGAAGGTATAGTATTCATAAAGATGATTTGTTTATAGAGATAAAAAGAGGATTGCCACTTAATTATTCTATTCTTATGTATGAGCATGCTCAACATAGAGTTATTCCGAATAGTTCCTTATAAGGGCATAGCAGAACCTTCAACTCGGTACTATGTAAAATACCAAGTTTATGTAACTTCTGCCCATAAATTTTCTCACGGACTCATAGATGATCAGATAATTTTAGTAATTGCGTCTCCAAAACGTTCTCAGAGAACCACATTCGAAAAAATATGATTACTGAAAGCGTCAAACCAAATTGACTGACATCTAAAGCTATTTACGGACAAATTCGTCTGCATACACCAGACTCTTTAAAATTTGAAGATATTGGGAACACCCACACACTATGTGCAGACAATACTCTTGTCTGGCTTTTAATAATGCTGTAAGCTCTTAGAACTTAATCGGTTCTATTTTATGAAGGTTCAAGCAAAAGTGTTGAAGTAAAGATGGAAATCTCGTATGAGAATGTTTACGAAAACATGCAAGTTTTTAGTTAGAAAGTGGTGTTCTTATAAAATTGCTGAAAGTATTTTTAGACAAACAAGTATTTGTAGTATAAAAGGAGAATAAAAGGGTTATATGGTTTTATTTGATTTTAATGCTAGTGTAATTTTAGATTTATGTAGACGACTATTAAAATTAATTAACTAAAAATCGTGAGTTCCTCACGTGAATATACTGAATATGCTGATTGGAGTTTCTTGCTCGTTCTTCTCCATAGGAATCTACATCTTGGAATGAGCAAATAGCTTTACTTTTAATTATTTTTGTTGACGTTCAAAAGTGCCTTTGTGGTCTAATTGAAATAAATGATTTTGACTTTGACTTTGACTTTGAGTTTGCCGCGACCGCGTACGCTGCTCATGAGGAAGAGCCCCTTAGTGGCTCGAAACTAGTAGAGCTTTTCTCAGTATATTCACGTGAGTACCCCACGATTTTTAGTTAATTTGGTATATCTCACGATAGTTATTATAAAGACTATTAAAACAGTTTTTAAACTAATTTATCCATCTCAACGGCGACACCCCAATAAAATAATATTAATTATTGTGTTTGGGCAATCTCAAATCTTTGTCTCTATCTACTTTAATGATATGTGTGAGTAGAGTTAGTCGAATCATTAATTAAGATCATCAAAAAGAAAAGTTCTAAGAAGATACTAATAGCCAAATATTTTCCAGGGATCTACCAATGCTGGTCAGGCATCAGTAAACTGCAGTGGAGGATATGGATGACCAGTGTATTTGTGTCCTTGTTTGTGGCACCAGCACTGACAATATCGGCCTGTTACGGAGTGATCGTGGTCACGATACGACAGAAGAGTAATCGGGTACTAGGCAGGAGGGCTACGGCGACTAGACAATGTAAGTTTCATTGTAGTATGTGCCTTATATGAAGTTATTGATAAGACATAATCTCTTGCTGATGTACTATCATCATAAGTAAGAACTTTTGTTTTGTGTTCAATCAATTATCAATTATTTGGACATAAATGAAAATATAGGTAAATTGGTGCTTTCTTTTATAATAAAAATAAATAAAATAAAATAAATTTATTTCAGACATACTGGGTCCATACATTTACAGTTTAATATTATGAAATATATATAATTCTTAATTAATTTAATTTAATTCATTTAATTTAATTTATTACATTATAACACCGCACTATCAATCATTGTTATTTTTTTTATATTGTCAATTTAATTAATGTCAATTTAGGTAAAGAAATATCATAACATTTTTTTTTTTACAACAATAGAATTAACTTAAGTATTTGCCTCCCTTTGAGGCACCGGCCACGCACACTTGAGTTTGAACCCAGTGCCTCATAAGGGGGCTATCCAGTTTTTGGGTGAGCACGCTCAAGATGGTGTTGGCGCTCCCACGCGTACGGAACATCAGCGAGGCAATGCGGCGCCGCAGCACCGCGTGAAAGGCGTCAGTGCGCGCGTGCGCAAACATCGCAGACGCACTACAGCAGCGCGGGAGCCCCACCAGCACCCTGAACGCGTTATTATATTGTACACGGAGAGCGTTGATGGCCCGCTGCGTGTATCCGACCCACAGATTGCAGGTGTAGAGAGTTTGGCAGAATGCTTTAAACAACGTGATCTTTACCCCAAGACTACACCCCGCAAATCTGCGTGCCAACATATTACAGCGGACCGCCATCGCCCTCCTCTCTCTTTCTATGTCCCTATCGTCTTTTAAATCCTCGGTTACCACATGGCCGAGGTATTTAAATTCCTTCACTCTTTGAAGAGTGACAGCGTTAAGCAGTACAGGTGCCACATCCCCCAGTTTACGACCCCTGGCCTGAAATACCATGAGCTCGCTTTTCTGCTCATTGTATAGGAGACCGTGCACTTTCGCATACTTCTCACACACGCCTATCATCTTTCTGAGCGCGGCTACTGATGGGCTGAGCAACACCATATCGTCTGCGTAGCTTATACTATTGATACAGCAACCATCAATCGAGCATCCCACTCCGATGTTGCTCAGCTCATCAATCAGCCCGTTTACGTACAAGTTGAAGAGTGTAGGAGACGTCAACCCCCCCTGTCTCACTCCACACTCCAACCTGTACTCATCAGAAAGTTCATCAAGCCACTTGACCTGGTTAGTTTGGTGATCATACCAATATTTAAACATATTAATTATCTCGCCTGGCACACCTGAATACTTCAATTTATGCCAGAGTATATCATACCTAACCAGGTCAAAAGCCCTGGAGAGATCAAGAAAGGCTGCATAAACAGGCGTGCTCCTGTCTGTGTAATACCTGACAGTCTGCTTGAGAGACATAACTGCGCATTCTGTCGAAAGTCCTGGTCTAAAACCGAACTGTGCGTCGTTTAATTTTAGATGTTTCTTAAGCTGTCTCTCAAGCAAGCCATCAAGCACCTTAGCTGTGGTTGTAGCTAATGAGATTGGGCGGTAGTTGCTCTTGTCAGAATTATCTCCAGTCTTGTTTTTACTTATAGGCACTACCACCGTCTTCATCAGCTCATTTGGCAGATAGGAATGCCTAATACAGAGCGTGAATAACAGTCCCAGGAGCCTCGGGAGGTGTGACCCCGCATGCTGAAAATGTTCGATGCTGATACCGTCGTGACCGGGTGACTTCCCTCGAGTCATGCCCTTTATTATTAGCGTAACTTGTTTTGCTGTGACACGATCAGGAACCCCTGTCACGACGACCTCCGCATCTCTAGTCTGCTCACCTTTTAGCGGAGACTCCACCTTAAAGTGACACCTAAACATGCCAGCAATGTCTTTTGGTTCACAGATGCCGCTGATACTCACAGGGACGCCAGGCTTTGGGTTTAGCTTTTTTGTTTCTTTCCAAAAACCTTTAAAATCTTTGTTTTTATGCTGAGTAGCTAAATTATTCATCTTTATTAATTCTTGATTATTCTGACAATAGCGTAGTTGGCTTTTGAACTGTTTTCTAGATTCATACATTTCATTATAAACCTTACCACTGTCCGGTCGACCACAAGACACCCAGGTCAAAAACTTCTGCCTAGCCTCCCTATGAGTATCACGAACATACTTGTTCCATCCGACAACATGACGACCGCGGTGGCGTCCGCCACTACCTCGGCCGACGTAGCTATCAACAGCAGCCTCCTGTAAGGTTGTCACGATGTCACAATAAAGCGCGTCTATCGCTGCCATGTGATCCTTGCTACTATCACTACACATGCGATCACAACACTGTTGGAATTCATGAGGGAAACCAATTTCCCTTAGTTTATTATTACAATATTTTGTATATTTTTCTATTTGGTTTATATCCCTATCCCCCCATAGAACTTTATTGGTTTTCCTGAGCGGTGGCCTAATATTTCTACAGACTGTTTTTAAGTTACACTGGATCTCTACTGGACAGTGATCAGACCAAAAAATGTCATAGCACACCCTTACTGAAGTAACCGTTTTTAGTGCCGCATCAGTAACCACACAGTGATCCAACCACCTATGGCAACCGTGCGCGTCACTCACAAAAGTATAAGTATTCGAATTTAAGCCCAACATCTCTAGGTCGACACATGTCCAGTTTTGCTCATTACAAAAATTTCGAAGCTCATTTCCAAACAATTCTCCGGGATGAGCATTAAAATCCCCCATGATAAATACACTTTCAATATTATTACCCTCAACTATTGACATAATTTCGCTTAAACATTGAACAAATTCTAAGAGATTATCAGAAGAGTCGGTAGGCATATAAATAGAAAATATCAGTATAAATCGATCCAAAGTACACACCTTAATTGCACTTATTCGGTTACTTTTACACGGAATCACAGACACACAACGACACTTACTGTTTCTCCATAGAAGTGCTACACCGCCATACGGACGCCCCCGCAGCACACCACTTGTTAGGTCTACCGCAGATTTACCGCAGTATCCGAAATCACTGTTCACTTTACCGAGTTCAGGAATCTCATGTGGCAGGAGCCACGTTTCTTGCAGTGCAATAATATCAGCCGTTAAGCAAAGACGTCTCACACACTCCAAGGATCTTTTAAAAGACTTACAATTAAAACTGATGAATTTTAATGTGTCATTGTTTGTTGTGCTATCCATTTATATTTATTACTGGACTAGTATCAGATTTCCTATGTCTGTCTAAATCTCGTCTGTTAAAATCCACAAACCGGCGGAAAGCTATTCCATCAGGCCATAAACTGCAGTCCAAAAACAAACTAAGCTTCTCCTTGGGAACATATATTTTATACGAGTTGTAATGTTTTTGTTTCTTAGATTCGATTTTTTGTAATGTGACTTCAACGTTTGTTTTGCTCCTTATGTAATTGACTATATGATTCTCACAGGTTTCCTTATGAACATTATTTATAAATAGAGGGACTCTGATATTTGCAGCCCTAAAACTATCTACTATTTCCGTGCACGTTCCTTTTTTACTCATAAATCGATTTCTATACCTCTTTCTTTGCACAATCTGCCAAACTTCATCTGCTTGCTGCGAAAGCATAGCGGTATGCGGCTGGGGCGTTCGAATCAGCTGATTGTTCGTCTTACCTGCATATACACAGGTGTTAGACGGATTAGTCACCGCGGCAAACGAGGCGCCCTGCGTTTGTTTCTCAGAGAGTACCGCCGCTCGCGCGCCGTCTGGGCTGTGTGCGACAGAGAGGTCGTCGCCAGATGACGGCGCGCGTGAGCGAGACGGCGACAGTGGCGGTCGCGCCTGAGCACACGGATCACAGAGTATTTTTTTGTGATAATCTACCTCCTTATCAGTAGCGGTCGAATAATTGTTATCACTCATCATCATGGGTGTAATATCAACAATTCCCGAGGGACCACTTTCGCAATTGCAATCCGCACTATCCAACATTCGACTTGTACCTCGTTTTCTGTTAAGAAAATTGTCCCGGTCGAAATTATTAACTATCGATGACTGCTGAAGATTAATTACTTCATTTCGTAGCTTCGAAAACTGGTCCACAGTAGTATATGTTTCCTTGATAGTCTCAATCTCGTGTTTGAGGATAATAAGATCCTTCAATATCCGAGTCGCATCCAAGTGATCGAAAGTGACGGGGGGCAATTTTTGCAGGTCACGAGCAACAAAAATTGGCATTTCCTCAGGATCTTTCTGTTTTATCAATGTGATTATGTCTTCTATTTCTCTTTGCATTTTACCCTCTCTTTTCCGGTTAATTTTTCTTCCTAAATTCTTGACTGAGGCAAATAAAAGATTCTTTGCAGCAGTAATATCGTCCGGTGTGAACGCCGTGGCACACAGTCTAATCATGGACTCCTCGTCCATCACATCACACTTGTTCTGAATAAAGGCCAGAACCTCACATATCACCACATTACAGTTCGCACACTTTAACATTTTAGAGGTCGTTGACCCGGTCGCATTAGCCATTGTGACGTACGCGCGCTGCGACGCACCGCTCGAGACTTTTAGGTACTTCGCATATTATTATGTTTTTGTAACGTTCAAATAAAATATTTTATTTTTTAACGTTTAGTAAGTAACCTATCGATAAAACGAAGATGGTATTAATTGGATCAAAGAAACAGCTCAACTATGAGCCGATTTTTCCATCAACAGATATTTTTTATGTAACATAGCGTCTTTTATCGCCGAAGGGGTAGGCAGAGGTGCACATTACGGCACTTTATGCCACTGAACAACGTAACACCCACTATTTTGTTATGAGCCCCATGTAATAGGAAGTGAGCCTATTGCCATATACAATTCCAGACTCCGTGCTACCACTGAGAAGTTTTTACAAACCCAGTAGTACTTTGCCCGACAAGAGAATCAAACCCGAGACCCCTTACCCGGCAGCACTTGCGACCATTCGGCCAATGATTCAGTCAGATAATTTAAATTAAAATAGACGTCTGAAATTATTTTGTATAGAAGAATTGTCAGAACTATCAAAATTATTTCTCCTATATAATTATCTGGCGTTGGAAAAATCGGCCCTAAGAAATCTAGTTGGTAGAGACTTAGAAATAAAATTCAAGGTCAAAACTTTTCCAACAGCAGTCACACCTGTTAACAACTAGACCGGGACGCTCCGTTCCAATCTAATCACACCTAACTAACTAATCCTATTAATAAGTAATTAGACTTTTTGGTCATCCCTAATTCGTAGTTTGGGAAAACTAGTCGCATGTGATTAGCAATTATGTACCTTATGTTCTCGTAAATAGTTGTTTATGTGGGCTAAACGTAGTCTGAATTAGATTAGGCCTATTAATGGTGTATAAATGTATTGGAGGTTTAGTACGGTGATAAATTCTACTGTTAATGTTATTTTGATGTAGTGTACTATTGTTACAAAGCAAATACGTATTTAGGAACCTATTTATAGGTTTTACGTGATAGTAGACTGACCTAGACTAGGCTTTATAGACGTCTTTAAGCAGCGAGCTTCACTAAATCAAAAGAACAATTTCTTTTACTTTCATATGTCCTTCAGTTACTTTTCTATTTTTATCATCCCCAAAGTTAAGCTCTCTCTCGACGGGCTATGCGTCTTGACATAATCCTACCTTTTACTCCGCAAGTACAATTCAGAAAGCTGACAAATCCACACTACCTACGCCATTCTCGTTCTAGTTTGGGCAAACTAAATAGACAAGGAAGGATATACCATCGCAGCTTTACGCCAATTATTTGGCTGATCCCATACAACAGAAGATAATGGGAAAATGGGGCCCCAAAAAAGAGTAAGGAAAAAGTCCTTTTGGTGTTTTATTCTATAACTGAAAATATCAATTTTAACAAAATATTGGAAATGAATAAAACACAAATCGATACAGAATAACAATATACGATCTTAAATCAAGGGCAGAAACTAAGAACGTGCCCAAACTGGTGATGTTTGAGGTCTATAAAGTATAGACTGCAAACCACTCCCGGATTTATGTCGACAAATAAAAAGTTATCCGTTTCTTATTGAATAGTAAACGAAGGTTAGGGTGAACGATAAACTTTGTTGCGAAGGATTATCTTGAAATGAGAACAATATCAGCCTTGAATATAAAATTCTGGTAAACTGTTGTTGGTCTTGTGTTTGAAAAGGCGATTGGTGTGGTTAAGCTCTTTTGGGGTTCGGAGAGATAGGTGAGTTCTTAGATTTTAGGATTATCGGTACCTAGTGACCAAGATATCCATATCTCGTTTTGCTTAACTACGCTCAAAGCTATTAAAGGTTTTCTTACGACACGCATTAGATGCAAGAAATGCTTCAATGAAGCTAAAACTTGTCGCTCATATTCATGAACAGCATTCCGCGACGCACGACCCGCGACGTGTCACGTCGACATGTCGCGCTGCTCGCAGGTCGCGGAATGCTGTTCATGAATATGAGCCTCAAGCAGGCCTTGAAACTAGTCGAGTTCCTCGTCCAAATTACGTGAGCAAGCCGAAAAATATTATCATTAATTTAGTATGTCTCACGAAAGTTATAATAAAACATATAGTTTTAATAATAACAATCGGCTATTCTTAATGGATTAATTATATAAACTGAGAAGCCGTCAGTAGAACGTGAATTTGAATACTCAATACCCACGAATTGAATTCTTGTTAAATAAAAACATAATATTAATGGAGTATTTTTATTACAGACAGTGACGACTTGGACAGCCGACGGGCCAGCAGCCGCGGCATCATACCGAAGGCCAAGATCAAAACTGTCAAAATGACATTCGTTATTGTTTTTGGTAAGTGATTCATTGTCCTTTCTTAATTTAAAATTAAATCGACATCAGCAGTGACAAAAACTAAGAATAATTTAATTTATGTTTTACTTTTTGCTTGAGAAGTTCTGTGAGAATACCAAAAGCCTTTTTTAAACGTTAAGAAACAGTTTATATGTTTTTGTTTGTTCAGAAATAATTTATACTTAAGCACTGGAAATAGAATATCATATTTTTTGTATCAAATATCATACTTATTTGCTTCTTTGATTAGAAAAATACTATAAGTAAGTTTAACATTAAACTAGTTAACGAGGGTGTCATGACTTTTAGATATCACAATAGAGTTATTAGTAAAAACGACTTACTTATTTTCCATTAAGGGGAAACCGCTTTTGTAACCAACATACTGATGTAAAGCAGTTAACTATACTTTAAGGGTATAATTCACCGGGACACCATGGCGGCGGAACCAGTCGCGTCGACCAACAAAATATATACAGCTTTATAGAGAGTTACGCGCCTGATGGCCACTTGGTTGCGCTACCAACTAGGACGCCAGCATTTAAGGTCTATTTTGATATTGTAAAAAATAGACCTTTAATGCTGTACTGTATACTGTCGAAGTGAGCCGTGTGGACACTGATGTCTAGTTTGGTAGCTTACAGACATAACGGTGGCGCGACTGGCTACGCTGCCGTGGTGTCCGGTATAAAATATAAATATAGTAATATAAATATACCCCTTAAAGATTAACAAGCTAGATAATACACGAACTCTTTTCAACATATCCCAAGTAAAACGTCCACGTAACCGAAAATAATTACATCAAAACATAATCATGTTACCTCAGTATGTTACTGTGTTATTAGTGAAATGACTATTCCGTGTTCCCCTACACAAACATGTCGCCAGCTGACGGACAGACACGCGAACAAAACAACAAAGTGATATTATTAACTTGACATTTTCGGATTTGGTTAAAAATTTGTGGAAGGGTGATTTAAAAGGGGTATGTAAAATAATTTTGTACAAATTGTTTTTTATTTTATAAAGAACGTTACCCCACACTGGGGTTTCCCATTGAGTGTGTGAGAGATCTGCAAAAATATAAGTAAGCAACAAATTAGACAATAATACTAGTTCTTAGTTACTATGTATTTATATGTTCGGAATAAAGGCTTATTTATTTATCTTGAGTGTGTAATAGCTGCATGTACAATATACATTTCACATACCTACACATCCCAGCCCCGGAGCAGCAATATGGGGATTACACAAAGAGTTGCTCCGTGCGGAAATTGATCCCGCTACAAATTGTGCGGCAGTCGGTTGCTTAGCCACCACGTCAATCTTCAGTCAAACCTTCTAAAGTCGGAAACCATTCATGATTTTAAATTATTATTTAGATATAAAAAAAATATATCACTTCACATATAATCACAAACAGTAAAAGAATGTGTACCTATAACAATAAAAGAATAAGTAAACAAAATTAATTTAGTGCTATTTTATTTTGCTTCTAAACCCTTTCATAGCATCTATAAAATCTCACAAGCAACTTTGTGAGCAGTAAAATAGATTTGCAAGCATTTACGAGATTTAGGGTATAGTACAAACCAATATAATAAATTAACAAAACGAAATATTAAATTGTTATAAATTAACAGAATTACATAAGGTTGCGATTTTTTTAAAGTCATGTTAAACACATTAGGAAAATTATTTTGTTTTATGCTAGATATCGTCGTGGTGGCCCGGAGGTTTAAGAAGCCCGCTTCTCATGCATGAGGGTGCGGGTTCAAAACCTATTAACGGCAAGTACCAATGTGACTTTTCGAGTTACATGTACTTTCTAATATTATCTAGACATCACTGACAAACGGTGAAGGAGAACATCGAGTGGAAACCTGGGCATATAATTTCAGGCTGAACATGTTTGTAAACGCACCCACTACACAGGAGAAAATCCTAGTGTAAGAAACGTTTTAAAAAAATAAATATAAATAAAATATGTATTAACTCGTCGAGTACCGTCATTATAGACACAATTATAGAACAACAGGTTGCGGTCACCGGTGACCGCTTGGTGTTTGACAGTTTAATATTGTACAGCTATTAAGTTCATACAAAGGTACACAAAGCACCGCTAATTAGTTCGTAACGCTCACATCGACATTACTGTCATTTACTCAATGTACATGTGTGGGTAATTTCATATTACTGTGTATAAAAATATTCGTCCACCACGTTCACATTGGTATTTTCATTCTTGTGTCGGTATACGTATTTTTATAATTTAATGCATGGGTAAGGTTAAAACTATTTACAATCATTGATATGACCCGACATTTTCACTGTAATTATCGTAGTGCTCGTGGTCGATTGGTTAATGAGTACGCTTTTATCGTCTTTCAATGATCAATGATGATGTGGGTTCTATTCCAGCTAAAAGTTTTTTTTTATTTTACCTTGTTGTTTTTCTTATTTATTTTTTTTTGTTTTTTGTCATATAATATAAATATCAGGCTATAAAAGAAGCAAATCAGTCGGTAAATAAAACAATACTATTTTTTATTAAAATTAATTTATTAATTATACAAATATGTGGTTTTATATTCAATATTTATATCTAATAATTAATTATATACCACATGTTAACTTTAAAGTTCTTCCAATCATTCTAAATTATTCTAAATAATAAATAACTAGAACTAAAATATAAATAAAGGATATTATAGGTATAAATAAATCTAAAGTATTTACTATTAAAATTAACATAAGATTTAGAAAAATAGGATAGGAAAAAAAGAAAAGATTTAATTGTTTCTAATTTCACATTCCAAATATTTGATTAATTAATACTAAAACAACATGTGAATGCTGGAATCGATCCGGTGGCACTTTACTTGACCACTGGAGGCGATAACCATTGCGCCAAGCGCGCCGTAGATGAGAACATCGAAATATTGTATATCATTCAGTAACATAAAAATACAATGAGAATGCACTATATATAAGTATTGTATTGCTCGATCGTTCATTATTTTTGATTTCGATTTATTCAAAGTTTGTTATGAGTATTTTTATCTTTACCCTCGTTTTTATTTAAACTTATTTACTAAAATATTACGTATACCGACACAAAAATGATATGTAATACCAAGATGTGTGTGATAGAACGAATGTTTCTATACATATCTATTAATATGAAATTACCCACACATGTACATTGTGTAAATGATAGTAATGTCGATGTGTAGCGCCTCGAACTAATTAGCGGTGCTTTGTGTACACACATACATATAAGAACTTTATTAAAGCCACGCGACATTACCTCCACTTCACCGTCTCAAACAGTTCCAAGAAGCAATAAGTATCAAAGTGTTAATACATTTAGCACAGTTTAATGTCAAGTACTTGTAAGCTTCGACACAACAGTTTCAACATTTATACATGATGGAGAACATCGTAAAGAGGTTTTATTGTCACCAGTTTTGTGGCCTCTTGTCATATCGCGATGGCAGTTACATTTCTTATTGCTTTCTAAGAGATTTGACCTTTGAACGTAAAAAAGCAATAACTGCAAGTACAACGTCTGTTTAGTTTCAATATGATTCATGGGTTTTGAACTTTAACTGTCGGAAAAATGTTATGGTCTGATGTGAAAAGTTTTTCGCTATCATAAAGTACTTAGTATTCTAATTTAAGCTTAAGTTTTTGCTACCACAGAATCTTTAGTCACTTAGGGCCGATTTTTCCAACACCAAATTTGAATATTTGTCAATACTTCCCTATTAAAACTGTCAAATATGTCAATTTTATCCTATAGTTAGGAATTAACTGATGATTGAAAAATCGGGCCTCAGTATTCAAACTGTTAGCTATGTGTACGTGGTATTCAGATATGAATAATATATTCAGATTCAGATGAATTAATTTACGTTTAAACAAGATTTCGAGTATGTTATACTGGGCATGCAGAGGGCTTGTACGAATATGTTTTATGTTAAAAGTAATCGAAACGAGGCCGTATTCTGCGCTCTGATTGGGTGGTTCATTGGAACCGGCCAATCAGATTACTGAACGTGTACTAAGCGTGTCGTACTAAAGAAAAAGTTCCCGAGCGCCTCAAAGAGCCATCAGACCACCACAGATGGGGCCCAACAGAGCCGATGCCGATTCGGAGTCGCGGAGAACCTAACGGGTTACCGGGGCTCCGGCTCTCGACGTGCAGGAGAAGGAACGGGGTGGTTTTAGACAGTAAGAGTCTGACACTCCCTCCCGTCTCACCCAGGCGGGAGCAGTCATTCAATGATTTTCCCCCTAAAAAAAAGGAATAAAAGTTACGAGCCTTAACATGAAAACATTACCTAAATGAATCCAAAACATATTTGTCTCACAAGCCTTCAACACTCATTCAATCAGATAATCAAAACTTCCTTCTACCAACACGAGAAATATCCCAGTTCATTTTATCCAGTATCGACACGGAAAGTTCCAGAACTTCAAACATTACATTCCACCCGCGACGATAATCACTCCCGAGCGTGGAGACTTTAAAAACTTGCGATGTAAAAATCCGGACGGCTTTATGGTTTAATCCCAAAAGAACATTGTTAGTAGGCACTGTAGACGATCATTTACGAATTTCATAATATTTCCACCGTTTGATGTCAAGTTGCTTTACTTAGGAACTTTAGGCTTCTAGGTACTAGAAAGTTCTTACTTAGGATTTACTTTATACCTCGACATAGGACTCAAAAGAACGTAATTAATGACATTGTACGCATTATAAAGATTATACATAATTAACTTGGCATTTCGTTGAATATATATTTAATTACGTAACATTTTTATAGTAGACTTTTTTTTAAGGGGGGAAAATCATCGAATGACTGCTCCCGCCTGGGTGAGCGGGAGGGAGTGTCAGACTCTTACTGACTAAAAACTACCACGTTCCTTCTCCTGCACGTCGAGTCGGAGCCCCGGTTACCCGTTAGGTTCTCCGCGACTCCGAATCGGCATCGGCCGTATTGGGCGCCTCAAAGATCCATCAGACCACCACAGATGGGGATCTGTAGTGGTCTGATGGATCTTTGAGGCGCGCGCGGAATGCGACGCGCCGTACGCTCGGGTCTGTTTCTGGTCGGACAGGGAGCCACCCATGCTCGCCGTCCGCAGGCCCGCGCTTACGGTGGCCGGAGATCGTCTCGCGGGCCGGAGATCGTCTCGCGTTTATAGTAGACTAGGTGTTGCCCGCGACTTCGTCCGCGTAGAATATTAATTGTAGAACATAAATTTTATATTTTCCAATTAAAAATAAAAAAAAATAGTCTGTGTTACTCCTTAATAAAAGTCTTGTAAAATCGGTCCAGCCATTCCAGAGATTAGCCAGTTCAAACAAACAGACAGACAGTCAGAAAAATTGTAAAAAGTATTATTTTGGTATGTCTATCGTATGTTTGTTCACATGCATGTAGTAAAAACCTGTTACTTTAATATTAAAATAGGCACTCCAATTTTATTAATCTGTATAAATAAAATTAGTTGTCTTTAAACTTAAACTAAATCTATTATCTATTAGTGGACTGCACGGTTGGCGCGGTGGCTGGGCAACTGGCTGCCGTGCAACGTGTCGCGGGTTCGATTCCCGCACGGAACAACTCTTTGTGTGATCCACAGATTGTTGTTCCGGGTCTGGGTGTCATGTGTATGTGATATTGTATGTTTGTAAACGCACTAACGACACAGGAGAAAATCCTAGTGTGGGGCAACGTTTTATAAAAAAAAAAAAAATATTATCTATCTACCTCATTACTTAGAAATTCAACGGTCAAATATTTTACGTGAACGTATAACCACAACAAACACTTGACATAATTCATACATCATTCAAAAAGGTTTTATACATTCAAATTCACGTGGCTCAAAACAATAATCTATCCCAATTACCTATGGTCCATTGTATTTAATCCCATTCCCCTGTTAATGTTTATTTCTTACAACGTTAATATTTACCCGAAATAACCCCTACCCATGGTGTTTTTCATGGGGCATTTGCCTTCTAAAGCCTGTATTTGCCCCGTCACTTTACGTCCCTCGTTAAACACATGATTCATCTTTTAATCTAATAACCAACGAGGTGCAAAAAAGGGGCTTTGAAATAATCTGCCATTTAAATAAACAAAACGTTTAAATGTCGTTAACATTTCACATTTGGAAACACTCGTTTTAATACGGTTAGCGTCTCGGTAATGACCATTAAGATTAAAACTGTCATATACTTAATTTCCGTCAGTAATCCTATCTTTCATTCGTATGAATGCCGTGCATTCATGGAACTTCAGTATTGAAGTTCCATGACTGCACGGTTGGTGCGGTGGCTGGGCAACTGGCTGCCGTGCAACGTGTCGCGGGTTCGATTCCCGCACGGAACAACATTTTGTGTGATCCACAAATTGTTGTTTCGGGTCTGGGTGTCATGTGTATGTGAAATTATATGTTTGTAAACGCACCCACGACACAGGAGAAAATCCTAGTGTGGGGCAATGTTTTTTTTTAAAAAAACAAAAAAAAAACTTGACATGACAGAGTAAATCTATATAAAAATGAATTGCTGTTTGTTAGTCTCTCTAAAACTCAAAAATGGCTGAACCTATTTAACTAATTTTGGTCTTGAACTGTTCCTGGAAGACTAGGAAGGTTTAAAGGGTGAGAAGAAGAATTGAGGCGGTACGAAGTTTGCCGGGTCAGCTAGTAGGTGATATTTTTCTACTATTCTAACAAGAGAAGTTCTGAGTTACGACTAGAGTAAGTTAAACAAATTAGACATTGGCCAAATGGCCACAAGTAGACTTAGTTATTTACAAAAAACATTGTCCCCTACTGAAGGGAGCTTCGTTAATGAATAACATTTTAAAGATTACATAACATAACATCACACCTTTTATCACATAGGGGTAGGATGAGTTATACTTACATTATAGCACTTAATGCCACTGTACAATGTAACACAACTATTTATGTTATGAGTCCCATGTAATAGGGGGTGAGTCTATTGCCACATTTTCAGATCCCGTGCTACTACTGATTTTTTTTTTAAAACCCAGTAATACCTTTCACGGCCTGGGAATCGAACCGAAGACCCCTTGCACAGTCGCACTTGCGACCACGCGGCCAACGTGGCAATCAAGATTATAGATTAATTAATCATAATGTTAGTCTGGCTTTGACCACTGTCACTTCAACACAATTTCGATAAATAATGATAATATGAAACAATAGAACAGAATCCCCAAATCTATTGAGAGCTATACAATTACCCGATCCGATGGTCACAGTGGCTAGCCTAATCATTAGTTCTCTTCGCTCGGTTTGACGTGGTCAGCCAATGGAGCAGATACTTAATGAATCAATTATGTACGAGGTTCTAACAAGCCATTTCTATTGTTACTAACTGAGATTAACCTTGAAACTATTTAGTGTAGGTCTAGATATTAATCTTAGTCTTAGAAGGGGTAGTTAATAAAGCTACAACTTCCATTTAGTAGACAAATGTTTAGAAGATCAATATCATCATCATTAACAGGCTATAAGTGGCCACTGCCGACTAAAGGCCTCTTCTCACACAAAAAGTTGTTTAACATTAATCACGCTTGCTCATTGCGGGTTGTCGATTTCAAACTTATTTAGAAATTATAAGTCCAGGTTTCCTCATAATATTTTCCTTCACCGTTTTTCAGTGGTGTCTAAATAACTATAGAAAGTACATATAACTCGGAAGACATCAGATTGGTACATGCCGTTGGTAAATTTCGAACACTCATGCCTGAGAAGCGAGCGTCTTAACCTCCGGGCCACTACGATATTCAAGACATACTGATCAAGATTGTATAAGAAATATTTAAACAACAAAAATATCAGCATATGGAAAACTAAAATCTTTTACAATACACCACTCGCGTTCAATTTTTTCCCTGTGTATATATGAATAGGCGTATATTGAAAGTAGCTAAACTCTAAATTCTAGTCTTCACAACTTTAGATCGGCATTCGCTGTACTTCCTTTAGCTCGTTTGGGTATCTATTCCATAAAAATCAGACCTACTAACAAACAGCATTTTCTACAGTATTCGTGTTATGCTGGTCTCCATACATGATCTTCGACCTGCTGCAAGTCTACGGCTACGTTCCAGACACGCAAGGGAACATCGCCATCGCCTCGCTCATCCAGAGCCTGGCACCTCTCAACTCTGCAGCTAACCCAGTCATATACTTCATATTCTCTAACAGGATATTTGTTAGCCTAAGGTGAGTTTATGATTTTTTATTTCTATTATTTACTTTTGTATGTGTTAAGTGATTACTGCCGAGAAAAAACCAACCCTGAAAGTAGGATTTTTTGTCAGAAACTACAAGTCAACGATTACAATTTAAAGTTGAAATTTCGAGGTAATCATTGTGTTTGTTTTGTACTGTTACCGTCTCATTCAAAGTTCAAGACTACAGGGTAGATGACTAATTCTTATTCTAATGTCCGTCTGGTAGATTATTTTAAAACATTAGACATGTATTTTTTATTTCTTTACAGATACAAATACTTTCGACGATATTTTGATTTGAAATGTCACGTGACGTCACTTCTAGAGAGGTTTTATACGTAGAAATGACGGTTTTACTCCCACTCCTAAACATTGATCCGTTTTATCTAAGTAATGTTTTCTTATACGATAAAATAAAAAAATACGTGTCTAATATTTATTCATTACCTAACTGACGGACTAATTAGATGTTTAATTTGCATACCCTGTCATCATCCCTGTTGGATAAGCCTTATTGTTTTCCAAACCAAGTATTTCAATATTTGTATATACCCAAAAACAACAGACCGACAGAGTATCAATACATAGTATAAAACAAAGTCGCTTTCGCTGTATGTCCGTATGTATGCTTAGATCTTTAAAACTACGCAACGGATTTTGATGCGGTTTTTTTTAATAGATAGAGTGATTCTTAAGGTTTGTATGTATAATACATGCATATTGCACCCGTGCGAAGCCGGGGCGAGTCGCTAGTTCTAAATAAATACATATTTGTTTTATTCTTACCATAAATTGATCTTTGTCCTTAATATGGGAAGGTGGGACAAGCCAACACCGAACTCGCAATACTAATCCCTCCAGAATTGATCAGGTGACAAAAAGCCCCAATTTGCGAAGTTTTAACACCTTATAGGATCATCTTAAGCAAAGACCTTTTAAAATACGACCTCGGTATAAAAATACAGTGCTTTATAAAATGAGGTTTTATTAAACTAATCTACGTAATTTGGGTTTTCTTGGGTAAAATTTGAAAAAGGAATGTACTGAGAACTTGTATTTTTTTCTGGAATTTTCCTCTAGTATTTTGTATTAACTGCTAGGCCGATGTTTGGGATGGTGTTCTATAAGAATTACGGATGAACACAGCCTGTATTGAACAACTATAAACATCAAATTGAATAGTGGAGATGTTTGAATTTGTGTTTATTTAAATCAAATGAGTATATCACTGAAATATTTAAAATTAAAATCTTTAACTGTTGCACTATTGAGCACCAAATTACAGTGCCTGTACGGTGGAACCATAAACTGGTAATTCACTTATGCTTATCTGTGCATTTTACCTTACTTCATTAATTAATATTAGTCGAGCATTCAGTACACTACTAGCGGTCATCGGGTATGCTCCTTCGCTCCTTTATAACACTTATAAACCTTTGGTCTGATTATTATATACGTTTTATTATTGACTTTATAGTTATAAAGCCGTATCATTTCACCTACTACCAAATTCTACATGGTCCTTCTAGCCGCATTCATTTTCAGTTACAGTGAAACGCTTTCAAATTGATTCTATGCATTAATACCCCGATAATTTTGAAACAAATTTACAACTTTATTATTTTTATGGGAATAATTATTTACTTTATCTAGTAAACACATAATGCCTACACCATAGAACCTATTAAAAGACACAAAACGTCCATTTAATCTAATGTATCTCTTTTTTAAGCAAGCTTAAAATTGCAGTAATTCCATTAATTATTTCGTAAGATAAACTCATTTCTTTGGGACCCTACACTTGAATAAAGTAAAGTAGAATTTCAGACTAAATTATGGTATTTATTTTTTTTTAATGACCAAAGTCCTTAAGTAAAGTCTCTTAATTCTGAAGGAAAATTTTCAGTAGGTACCTTAGAGCCGACCTTAGTTAATCGTCTGAAATTAAAAATGAAACTTTGTGAGTAGTAACTGAAATGGTATAAATAGTAATTAGACTTAATTTATCGTTTACACTTAACAAATGGGTCGTTTGAATGATTCTGTTTGATGTTTTGGAATGATTTGACATTTGGATTTCTTGCTACGATTCTGTCACTATTTCGTTTAGTGATTGTTAAAGTGAAGGTATTATATTGTACTTAGGGTTGACTTTTTAATCAATAATTATTTTTTACTGTAAAAAAATTGACAGTTGACAGTTTTTAAAAAGAAAAAATTGTGAAATATTTAAAGTTATTCCTCAGATAAAACATATCTGGCGATGGAAAAATCTGCCCTTAGTCGTGATAATTGACATTGTTTTTCATTGTCGCTGAATTAATTTATAATTATGTAATAATATTATTGCTGTATAAAAATTATATAGCTTCACGTCACAAACAAATTAGTATGAATTTGGCTAAAAGTCAATACATAATTCAGCAAAAATACAGCTACTGTTTTTTAACCAATTTTCTCCACCGCACACAAAAAGGAGCTCTATAGTTTGTCCATACCATAAATATGAACAAAACAAGCTTTTACTTTAGAAATAGTCTTTAAAAACAAGAATAGGTCTTAAATATCTTGTAACGACACCATCTAGACTCTAACGGTACTCAAATCGAGTTTGTGACGCCAGAATGCACTTAACTACTAAACTGTTTATGCTTTCGAGGTCATAAACTTGTCTTGTACCTATACTACGGTTTGAGTGACTATCTGTTGCTTCTTTAATGTCTCCTGTTAAATACGGTCGTGTGCAATGAGTTTTCCCTACAGTGCTGTTTCATTATGTGTTGTGCTGTATACTAGTTGTTTATTGTACACTAGCTGTTACCAGTGTCTTCATCAGCGTGGTCAAATGGAAAGCGTAGCGTAAACTGTCAAATGCTGCGAGGACACCGGTGACCGCAACCTATTGTTCTTTAATTGTGTCTATAATGTCGAGGAGATTGACGCTTCTGCACGAATGGGCCGGCTCGACCGAAGTTATACCACGACCTCACAAAAAATAACGCTTGCGTTGTTTCGTCGTATGAGTGAGGTTAACGAAGGCACAATTAGCCCACCCTCCTACTGAATGTAATACAGTTCTCATTTAATATTAGGTAAATTATTATATAATTTTCTTTCTCTGAATCTTCAACAATCCTCTAATTCCTGTCCCCCAGATGGTTGGTAATGTACTTGCAATGTCTCTAGTGTTTTGGGTGTCCATTGGCAACGCCGATTGCTTACCATTAGTTAATCCGTCTGCTCGTTTACCGGCGCATATGCCATAGAAAATCACACTCCTCAGACACGAAAATCATACACAGTTATAGAAATGATGAGTCATTATACTTGAATCTCTTAAAAACTCTTTTTCGTTGAACGAATTTTAGCAAAGCAAAAGTACCAACTAAAATTTTATAAAAATATAGAACAAAATTCCAATATAAATTTCACGCTTTAATATTAGCATAAGATTCAAATTATACGAATATTTAATTAAACGTGATAATTAAAGCAAATAAAACTTGATTACATTTACACCAATATCTCACTACCCACGCTCACAGCTCTATACCTAAATAGGTAAAATCATAATTTTATTACACAAAGAAAATTATATAATAATGTACCTAATATTAAATGGGAACTTTATTACATTTAAGTGAATTAATTCAAACTCTCAACTGAAAATTGAGCAGATATTGTAATTAAACATTTGAGTAACATTTCTGGGTTTTACGTACACATCAAATGTAATTAACTCGTGATAATTGGTATGTGCTCCACAACTTTCTTGACGAAATTAATTAGGACGGTTGATTGAAAATTGTTAATTATTAAGTACGATTTACACATTCGTGACAATTTGTTTATGTGTAACAAGAATAATTCCTAGTCGATTCTCTCACTGCTGAAGATCGTGACTCCCTCTGATTTTGCTCACTAGATGTCGCCACTTATCTAGTTCCGTTGCTTGGTGCATTGCAAGATTCATAGGTATCTCCAGCTCCTTGGATATTTGGTCAGACCACCGCATGGGACTCTACCCTCTCAGTCTCTTACCATAGTTACATGTATTACAACAAAAACATCAAGAGTTGGTGATAATTCACTGCTGGACTATTGCCTTCGCTCATAATAATTATATAAGTAGTTTTCGTCATGGTCTCTAAGCCTGGGACTGGAGATCGCAACTTAGTGCCTTGCTGTCTGATATAGGTATTGTCTTTCAGTCGCCTCTTAGGATATTCGCTGGATTATTAGGGATTGTAACAAATAAATGTCGAACCTACCAATGGCAAGTACCAATGTGACTTTTTCCGAGTTATATGTACTTTCTAAGATTATTTAGACACCACTGACAAACGGTGAAGGAAAAACATCGTGAGGATACCTGAACTTATAATTTCTAATTATAAGTTTGAAATCGACAACCCGCATTGAGCAAGCGTGGTGATTAATGCTCTAACCTTCTCCGTGTGAGAAGAGGCTTTGCTCAGCAGTGGGCATTTATAGGCTGTTGATGATGATGATGAAATGTCGAACCAAAATAGTTGATTTGTTAGAATACCGGAAAGCCTATTATAATTATGTTTAACCTGTTATAATTGTGACAACATAACATAACAACATATCACGCCTTTTATCCCCGAAGGGGTTGGCAGAGGTGCACATTATGCCACAGTACAATATATCCACTACCCACTTTTCACTATTTATGTTATGAGTCCCATGTAATAGGGGGTGAGCCTATTGCCATATACCGGGCACAATTCCAGACTCCGTGCTACTACTGAGATTTTTTTAAAAACCCAACAATACTTTGCCCGGCCCGGGAATCGAACCCGAGACCCCTTGCCCGGCAGTTGTACTTGCAACCACTCGGGCAACAAGCAATTTTGACAAATGGAAATAATAATTATTATTGTTGGACATAATAACTAAAAAGTTTAAATTATTTTTCTTGTAAACAGGAACATTCCTCCATACAAATGGCTATGGTGTTGGATGAGGGCGAGTGACAGCCCTGCTGGCAACGAATCGCGGGCACACACTGAACTGCTGACGTCATCACATCGACGGACTAGGCATGAACTAACTATACGAGTAAGTTGCAATTATTTTTAGACATTTTATACTTTCAAAGGACATAGAAAACTGGTAAATATGTAAGTATAGTTTAAAGTTCTTTGTAATAAGGGAAAAGCCTATTGACAAAATTGGAAAAAGACTATTACTGAGAATACGCAGAAATATAAGAATTTTGAAAGTTTGACTTAAAAATCAAAGCCACCAGGCGACGATTTAACCAACGCGACGAAGCAATAACCTTTCAGCGTTTACCTACTTCTCTAATCACAAACTCAACTTTAACTTAGTTGTATATTTCACTCGTTTTCTCCTAAAAAACTTCTCATTCACCTACATTCACAAGTTCGAACAAAATTTTATATTTCCAACATCGAAGAGACAATTTCAAAGAAGCACAGTTTTGTAAGCGTGTGGGTGGGAACTGTATCGACATGTTTTCAGGGGCAGGCACGTGCGTTGAAGCATGTTTCAGTAGTAAGTGAAAGACACGTGAAGCGTGAAACTTCAATGAAATGTTTAAACAATTTCTCCACCGAAGGGGAGATTGTAACCTACATTTATGTTGTTAGCAATTCCTGTGTTACACATAGAATCAGTTCAAAATCTGATATAAGTCAAATTAAATTTGTATGACTGAAAAAACAGAGCACAACTAGGTGACTTCAAGGTCAGAGTTAGTACGAGTTTCATTTACGTTTAAAGTATTCGAAACGAGTACGCGTTCGGTACTCTGATTGGCCGGCGCCTATGAACCAACCAATCAGAGTGCCGAACGCGTACTCGTTACGATTACTTTAACGTAAAATATACTCGTACTAAGGCCTCAGAGTGGTTCATCGTTGACATTATCATCGCTTACCAGTAACGAGTTTTTTATACCACGACGGTGGCAACAAAGCACACGGTCCACCTGATGGTAAGCGGTTACCGTGGCCTATGTGCGCTTGCAACACTTGGGGCATTACATGCGCCTTGCTTGCCGACCCTTGAAAAACCTATTTACTTCATTCATGAAGAATTCCATGTTGTATCCTATTGGGAAAATTACGGCAGAGAATCATTCCACAATCGGAGGGTCCGTGCGAGGAAACTCCTCTGAAACCGAACTGTACGGGATCATTTGGGCCCTAATGTATGATCGTCATCTCCCTGTCACGTCAGCGTGTGCCAGTGGTGCGAAGATCAAAGTGGCTGTAGGCATCGTATCAAACAATTCCGCGAAACACAACCCGTGATGCAATGATGATGATGATGAACAATTCAGTCTTATATAAATTTAATTAAGGGTATTTCTATTGAAATTTTGTACTACTTCATCAATAAATTTCATATTTAACTTAGTTACTGAATACTAGTAACTACAACTTTTGTCTATAAGTGATTACTTACACTACACTCTATTCTGACTTCTGACGAGAATCCATCTCAAAAGCCTCACACAAAAGTAAGTCGTATGAATTCAAACGCACTACTCGACTCGCGCATAAATTGCTTCATCACAAACGGAAGGATATTTCAACTTTTGGTTCGTAGGACTGAAGGCGTCACCATTTATTTATTGCCTGATATTTTTATAGAACCTTTGGCGCGCAGTTTTAGAAATAAAAGTTCAATTGCAATAATCTCGATCAAACATAGCAACGATAAAGTCAGCCTTTTTAATCCCCCTATTATGGAAATGTGTTCATATAAAATATAACAACCACTTTTCACCAATTACATTATGAGTCATACACAATTAGTGTTAGCCCATATATACCTCTACTATACATAGGACACAATCCCAAACTTCAATTTCTATCCATCCAGAATAAAAACCATTTGTCTAGTTCCATCTAATTGGTACTGTTTAGAAGTTGTACATTCAACCCCAACTTGGTTTGAAACTATTTTAGAAACATGCAAACCAGTGCAGACAATTGGATTCAAAGAAAACAAAACCAGTGTTCGGCTTGCGGACAATTTCGTCTGTCTCCAATTTCACTTTAAAATGTAGACATATTGGTTTTTCGAATAGATACTCTACCAATATAAACTTAGAATTGAAAATGAAGAATATGTTTTGCTTGTTCCTGTTCTTCTGTTTTATGTCTAAAAGGTATCTGTTCTTGTAGCTTATTTGCACCTAATGGTTAAATCTGATTTTTGGTAGAAACAAAAAAGAGTATATTTTTATTTCCACACACACATGCTGTAACCGTAAATATTCTGCGACACATAACACTATCCCAAACAGCAATACGTCCCTTAAACCTAGCCAAAAACTCTAATATACATAAATTAACAAGATCAATCTTTTCAAGGTCATCTACTCTAATAAATTATTGACCCGAAGAATTTCCATCACATCAATTTGCAGGAAAAGTTTCCTCGAAATCTAACTTCCAAAGAACTTTTTCTCGGAATATTAAAATTCCTACTTCTCTAGTTTTATTACTTCGACTTCATCGCTTGATTGATTCCAGGATAACAGTTTTTCGGTATTAGATTTTGTCCTTTTTATTGATGGTGTGTAGTAGTTTCCAATATTTACGTGAAAACATAAAAAATGATTTATTTAAAATTTTGATTTATCTATAACTACCACCCGCCACAGCTGGGGAAATTCAGCCATGTTATTCAAATTCATTCCCCAAATTCATTCCCCAATTTCCAGTGTAGCTACACTGGAGCGCAGTTTCCGAATTTTCCCGGTCAATGTGCCGATTTTTTTATGGGATAAGCCTTACTCACACGACGAAACACAACCTAAGTGTGGTTTCGCGTCGGTCTTCTGTGAGGCCGTGGTATCACTGCGGTCGAACGAACCCATTCGTGCATGGCTCACCCACACTTATTCACGACAAATAATAAATATTCAATTTTGTTCAGTAGTCCGGGAATTATCACCATACATATATTTAGAGCAACAAATATTTAAGCAATGTTAACAATATTTACAAAATTTTACCCAGGTAAAAGACGACAGCGTGAAGTTTCCAAAGCAGCGTCTACACCAGTGCAACAGCACAAACTCCAAAAAGGTTCGTTTACATCTGCCCGACCAACAGATCAACAACAACTGCCATCCACCGCAACGAAGACGGGATGATACTTTCTTGTAGACTTATTAACCAACGTCTTTTGCAGTAATTGAATTTCTTTGAAAATTACTCGACTAAGTATAGTTATATGGCTTTATCACGTAACAATTCGAGGGATCTCAACCAGTCTCAAGCCGAGCCCGAAGCCCATAGACATCAGCATTAGTAACATGCGCAACTACTGACGTCGCCAGCATTGTTCAATGCACAGCCAACCCCAACGATTACGTCGTACGTACGTCGGCGGACGTCAAATTCACGAGAGTTATTTTTTAATGAAAATTAAAATATGACAATTACATTACATTTCAGTCGATATCCGAGATGTCTCATCGAGCCATGCATTAAGTTGAGTATTTTTCAAAAGATTCTTATGATGGTCAGTAATTTTAATGAAACTATGTATAATATTTTATATGTACGTACATGTATACTGTGTAACTTTAATAAATGTGAACATTTTTAGACATAAGATGACATTAAACGAATTGAATATAATAATGTTAATTTTAACGTTTTAATATAATAATATAAAATGAACTGTATGACTAAATTAATGTTAGCTTAATAACTTTATCAATCTATGGTTTCTTATATTCAACACTGACTTTTGCAATGACAAGAAAATAAATATTCGTGCATACTGTTATACAAAGCTTATAAATAAACATGTACTTTCAATTACGGGTAAACCTTATTAATTTATATTATACAGTCATTATAAATTCACTATCTCTGATTACTAGATCGATATAGAAATCAATCAAATGAAAAAGACTACAAAAAGATCCGATAGACTACAAAAAGTATACTTATTGGGCACCAGACACAAAGCAGTAATAAACACAACACAATCAAATAAATAAAATTAAATAGAATGGTACACGAGACCACAAAAAAGTAAGAAGGGAAACGAGTAACGAAATATTATTATTATATAATTCATTTTGTTTCATTCTAATTGATCTGATATTTAATATTTATGTTTTAAGCTTACTCACGTAACGGTTTAACGAGGAACTTGACTAGTTTCAAAACAGTAGAGGCTCATATTCATGAGCCATTCATCCAACCGCGCAACGACAATGGGCGCGTTGGGCCCGCACCGCAGCAGATTTGAGTAGCCAGTAGCAGCGCGACAGTCGCTGCGTCGCAGGTCACGGAATGCTACTCATGAATATGAGCCTCTAGCATGGCTTGAAACTAGTCAAGTTCGTCGTCAAACACTTACTTGAGTACGTCGAAAACATAATAACTAATTTACTATGTCTCACGAAAGTTTTAATGATTTGATATTGTTAATATATCTGATAAATACAAATATTGTTTCCTAGATACAAATATTGACTTTGCTAATGATATTAATGTATTTGTTCGGCCTATATGTCAGTGTATATTGTCACAATATTATTGAGGAATACGTAACACCAACAGAGTTTGTATAGTACGTAAATATATGTCCATTTTGGCAAAGTCAACAACCACATGAGGGAAAAATGATAGTTTTAATAAGCATAATAACAAAGACATAATACCTATATATATTAAATGGCATTTCTAAATAATTTATTCATCAAAATGTGAAATAATTAAAACCAAAAATGTTCATGCCTAAATAAGGGATTTCTTTTTAAAACAAGAATCTTATATGATTCGTTTTTCATTTTTACTGTGTGTAAAATCTTCACATCGTGTTTTAATCGTAAAGAGGTAAGTAGAGAACAAGATACAGGGACTATTTAGAAAAGTATCTACATTTTCGGTCTACTATTTTGTACGACCACGACGGTCTAGATCTCTGGAACCAAACATTTTGTATACAGGTTGTTACTAAATCTGAATATAACTTTTGGTGTGGTAAAAATTAAAAAATATATCTTTTGAAACTACGTTTAATAAAGCTCATCTTTTTTTGACGTCGTTTAATTGATATACTATATGTGTAACAAACAGTTCAGCCAATTGCGAGAATATCACGCACAAACATACATACATAATTACATACATACGTCGAACATAGGTCGAACTGAGAAACATCTTATCTTTTAAAGTCGGTTAAAAATAAAACTAACAATCGATCTATAGTATGTAGAATTACACTTCTGAAGTTTAAAATACATAGAAAAATTACTATTTAACAAAATGTCTTTATATCAAAAATGTCTGCTTCGAGTACATTATTTATCTGTAGACATTTTAATCACACGAAAAGTTATGTTTTTATGGACGTAACATCTTGTAGTGTCATAGTATAAGTAGTATAAGTAGTTGTTAGTATGTAAGTGTATATTATTAATGTATGTTCAAAACATTTGATATAAAGTTTAGTATAAAGGTGCCAAACTATGTAGATTGGAGTTAAACTCTAGTCACCCTGTAACGTGTATTTTAAATGTATAATGAATTTCTTTCCTTGGTTTTATGTTTTATAAAAATCTTATTAGAATATAATCAATTTTAAAAGTATTTCTTTCATTCACTTACAGTTTGATTGTTAATTTACTTTATGTATCTGTATTCTGTAAATTTTATTATTTTACCAAATTCTATTGTTTTTTATAAAACATGAAATCACGAAACACACTGTTTATACACTGTATCAGAACAAGATAATAGAATAAATGTATGGAATCAACAAATTCGTTTTAATTATATGAAAATCTATGTATATAAAAATGAAACCCGTTTCCCGTTGTCACGCCATAACTTGAGAATGACTGGACCGATTTGGCTTTTTTTGTTGTATTTATTATTGTCACGAGGTTTTTATGATAGAAAAAAAAACCTGAAAATCTTACGGGAATGGGAGAAAACGGGATTGCGCGTACGAAGTCGCGGGCAGAAGCTAGTTTGACCTAAAATGCAAAAAATAACTTGAGACGAGTTGAAACACCCCTCCACCTATAAAATCGTAAAGACTTACACCACGTAAATAAATACGCCAAGATTTAACAAACATAATCTCAACTGCCAACCAAAATTAATATCTTCTCACCATTAATAACAAAGATAAAACCAGAACCGAGAATTTATTCACAATAATTTATTATTGTGTCAACTTGAAACATTATAATACTTTAAAGACTTTGAAGATGTGAATTTATCTTCAGACGTTATGGAAGAGGCTTCGTAGACTTTTGGTCGTAAACACAACTGCCGACTAAGCAAAGTTACGATAGGGGACCAGAATAACAACATATTTTTGGATTTGGACTGACTCGTTCGTGACTGCCTTGTTGACCACGTGATCGCAAGTGCGACTGCCGGGCAATGGGTCTCGGGTACGATTCCCGGGTCGGGCAAAGTCTTACTGGATTTTGTTTAAATCTCCGTATTAGCACGGAGTCCGGAATTGTGCCCGATATATGGCAATAGGCTCACCCCATGTTACTGTTACTCGTACCATAAATAATGAAAAGTGGGTGTTACATTGTATAGTGGCATTAAGTGTCGTAATGTGCACCTCTGCTTACCCCTTCGGAGGTAAAAGGAGTGATGTTATGTTATGTTGTAGATTTGGACATCTTCAATACCTTCTTAAATGGTGTCTAGGATTGAAATGATAAGTTTAAACAGGTAATAGGATGGCAATAGACTCGCTTCTTATCTTTTAAGATTCTAGCAAAATCAATATTTGACATATGTATTAGGGCAGGAAAAGTAAGTACCTAGGTATGTTAAGGCAAAGATTTTTCGTATGATATTAATAATCCCATTTAAATAATTGGTTTCATTAGCGCTAAGAACAGTCATGGTCAACGGGAGCTCATCCGATAAATTCGGTTTCATTAACGTGTGATAATTGTACCATTGACAAACAAGTTCAATCAAAGTAAAATTTGCCCAAAACATGACTAAGGCTACTGACCTTGAAACTCACCCTAAATCCACACAAAACTCCTAAACCAGATTAAGCACACCTTTGTTCACAAAATAACTTAATTAAGTACAAACTAAACATGTACACAAATCTTAAACAATTTACAAATAGCTTCGACTAAACTAAATTAAAAATACATTACCATACCATTAAAATTCAATCCCTCGTATATTATCATAGCGATGGCGAAAGGACGGAAGCGCCAAGCAATTTTTGTGAGAAATTGCGTTTTTCCGTAATTAATTTTCTTGTCAGAGTGTTCGTTGTGATTTTTAAAAGCCATTTTTATAATTTGGTGACGAGGTCTCTCGATTTTCTGACTATATTTCGGGATGAGGATCCTTTAACATTTTTTGTTATTTTTAACACCTCGTTAGTCGCTGTTTTGATGACGAGGTCAGAATGAAGGAAGTCAAAGTAAAAACGTGTTCATCATTGCTATTTTTCTCAAAAGTGGCTGATGATAAGAATGTTCTTTAAACTATTGTTATTTTTATATCTATAACTAAAGAACGAAGCTCAAAGTCGCACAGCGCGCAATGGAGAGAGCTATTCTCGAGGTTTCTTTGAGCGACAAAATCGAAAATATGGCAATTTGTAAAAGAACTGGAGTTACCGACATAGCTCGCAAAATCTGCAGACTGAAGTGGCAATGGATAGACCACGTCCCTCGACGGACTGACGGCGGATGGGCCAGGAAAGTTCCTAAGTATCTCCACTTAGAGACTTTCTCCACGGACCGGAAGACGAAGTGTAGGCAGGCCTCCCGCTAGGCGGACCGTGGCGAGTTGTCGTTCAACAGAAGGCCTTTGGCCAGCGGTGGACGTCTTTAGGCTGTTGATGATGATGATAGATAACTAAAAACTATCCTACATACACATTCATTCCAAAAGGTACACAAAACTAAATATAATTTCTGCTAACCCAGAGATTCGACCCGAATGAAATAACCACCCAACTCATTCATTCAATGCAGAAATCTAACTCGAATTAACCAACCGTCGAACAACCACGAAGAAAATAAAAAAGTATCCCTCAGAAACAGGGGACACAGTACATCTTACAAAAAATATCATAGCAATCATGTCTGAAGGGAAATTTGATTAAACCGCTACTCCGAGGAATCTAGAATACTAAAGTCCTTCAGTGTAAAGCGTTGTAACACGAAATGGTTTCAAATAAAAGCCCTCGCTTTGGCCCAAACTATATTGTATCTCTGATTACTGTGACTGATGCTTGAAAATGACAAAACATATTGGATTCAACAATGCCAACTATTCGTTAGTTCTGTTCAAATGTTCTCAAGTGGTTTGTGGTTGGTATTCGAACCGATGGTATGTGTAAATATTTTAGTTCGATTATGGTGTGAGAATTAATATGTGCATTAATCAAACCCAATATAAGCCAAGCGAGTTTAGCACTTAAAGCCATTGAAACGAAGTCAAAATTACAATGTCACTTACTTGTTCCTAAACGGCGTGCAGGTTGTAATAGGTACTCAGTGTAAGTACTGTTAGAATATCCATTAATGTGTTTTTAAACTTAAAAGTGAGAACTATGAAACGGGATACTTTTTCTATCACTTCAAAGGCACAAAGCAAAATTTACGTTTGGTTTGCAATTGTAGCTCTTAATTAATTATTCTTAAAAAATGTCAAAAAATGTACTTAAGTTATTTTAATGATTCCCTCAAAACATTCATCGTATTCCACGAAAAACCAACACAAAAATTAAAAACAATACTCACACACACATCTAAAAATACCCACCAAACTTATTTACACAAGATATGATTCCATGGAAACAACTGAAGCGAACTTATTACACTAACTAACAAGCAAATTACAGCGTGGGTGCCAATAACATGGCCGATACATCACACCAATCTATTAGACTATAATTACCCTTACAACTTCAATAACTCAGTCTAACGAGTACTCCTCGAAAACTACTTATTTACTTCTCTCATGTCAGTAAATAACTGGCCAACTATCGTTTAGTGGGAAAACAAGACAATTATATGATAAATCATGTATCCCGAAGACTTATTACATGAACTAGCTTTTAGCTCTAGTGTTTTCGTACATAGTAA